CTCGATCCCAGGACCCTGGGATCATGACCTGAGCCGAAGGCAGACGCCCAACGACTGAGCCACCCAGGTGCCCCGCCAATGATGTTTTTAATTCCCTAGATGTCTTTACTGAATATTGTTTTATTACCAAATATTTCAATAAATTTAGTGAAAATGCGTATAATTACCATAATTTTGCGACTTTAAACAAATTCTAAAACATTTGCACATATACAGAGGGCTAAATAAGTAACTTTTGAAACTCCTTCCCTCGGGTGACTCAGTTACACAAAGAATTTCATGAGTGTATATATGTATGGCTGTCGGATATTTATTAGGCTTTAAGCATCCTGATTTCTAGAAATATAAACAGCCAAAACATGCAGATCGGTGTCTGGCTAAACTTCTGATCCAAATACTTGAAACCAATGCAAGCATACATGAAGATACACTTCACTTACCATATTAAAATAATGTTTCATCTTGGTGCCTTTTGTAATATCCCATATAAATATGCTGCCATCATGTCCTGCAGATAACATAATTCTGGAATCAAAGGGATGTGTCTCCAAAACAAATACTTCATCAGCATGTCCCTTTATTCAACAAAGTCATAAAGTTAATGAAGGTTTGCAAGTTATTAAGTTTAAAATGAAAAACCCATATTGTCATCGTGTATAAAGGCTTTTAAAAATGTATTAATAACAGTGGCTTGAACATTAGTATATCTACAAATGTCTACTCATTTGATAATCAGTGGGTGAAACATATTTAATATGTTAATATTATAGCTTCAAAAATCAAATTATAGTTCAAAAAAATTCTTGATTTGTTATATAAAAACAACCTACCAGTAAGTTATGAAGCAGTTGCCCTGTGTAAGAATTCCACACTTTAAGGACATGATCGTTCACAGCTGTGACAACAATGCTATCGTTCTGATTCCAAGCGATCATTGTGACTTTGGGTTTCATAAACCTTTCTTCTTCCAAAGATAAGTCCCTAAGAAAAACATACACAATGTGTAAATTCATTTGAGAAGTACAATCAATACAAAATTAATGGAAGTAATGTAGTTTTATGTCCATACATTATTATATATCTAATATACATCTGACCCATAACGATGATCTATAAACAGATTACAGCAAAACTGAGACGGGGAGGAGATGATTATAGAAACAGTTCAGGGGGGACGCCTGGGTGGCTCAGTCGGTTAAGTGTCTGCCTTCAGCTCAGGTCATGATCCCAGGGTCCTGGGATGGAGCCCCGCATCAGGCTCCTTGCTCGGCGGGGAGTCTACTTCTCCCTCTGCCTGCTCAAGTGCTCTCTCTCTCTCTCTGACAAATAAATAAAATCTTTAAAAAAAAGAAACAAACAAATAGCTCAGGGGTGCCTGGATGGCTCAGCTGGTTAAGCATCTGACTGTTGATTTCAGCTCAGGTCATGATCTCAGGGTCCTGGGATTGAGCCCCGAATCAGACACTGGGCATGGAGTCTGCTTAAGATTCTCTCTCTTCCTCTCCCTCCGCCCCTCCCCCTGCTCGTGGTGACAAAGAAACAGTTCAGTATGAATAAAGGCATATGTTAGGACATCACCACTGCTCATAAATGCAAAATTTTTTCTCTCTACCCCTTTTCTATTATTCCTTTCCCCTGACCCCAAGCCCTAACAGCTTTAATTTTGTTGTTTCTCTCTCCAGAGAAGATGACAAGAAATTTTAGGAAGACAGAAAGAAGGCAATGCATCTGTACAGCCCCCAGTTATCTAGAAAAGTGCCTGACACACAGATATTCAATCTTTTGAACTATAAATAAAACTGTACTCATCTCTTTACACTTCCCTATAGATGGTTACTATGGTTCTCTTGGCAAGAATGGCCTTGGATACAAATGTCTACAATATTTTGCAGCCTGAAATGCAAAGTTTCTCTGTAAACCATAGTAGTCAGTACTACACAGAGAAAAGGTAAAGCCCAGCTGCTTTTTGAAATCAGAGAATACAACCTAAGAAATTATAAACATATATTTCAATTAAAGAAAACAGCTGTAAGAATATGGAAGAAGTGCCATGTAACACCTATCTATACAAGCACAATGGAACACAGACAAGAGAATAATTCTAACCAGATTGGTCAGGGAAAAGTGTAACAGAAGAGGCAAAATGGAGTAAAGGCTAAGACTCCATGCTTCACTTTAAACTAAAAGGCATCACCTGTTAGTAACCTTGAAGCAACAGACATATTGTACTTCATCAAGTTGATCATCCAGGATTAGAACACTAAAACAAATATGCCCATTAATTCTTATATACAGAAAAAACTCCGCTTCTCAAGATTGGAAAGATGTAAAACTTTAAATGAAAAAAGAATATTCCCACCATTGGAAGGAATTACTGGCAGAGCACTCTCCATGGTAGCAAGAAAACAGAGCAGTTTCCAGTCTCAGTAAAAAAAAAAAATTTGTTTTAAAGATTTTATTTATTTGACAGAGAGAGACACAGCAAGAGAGGGAACACAAGCAGGGGGAGCGGGAGAGGGAGAAGCAGGCCTCCCGCCGAGCAGGGAGCCCGATGCGGGGCTCAATCCCAGGGCCCTGGGATCATGACCTGAGCCGAATGCAGACGCTTAACGACTGAGCCACCCAGGCGCCCCTCAGTAAAAATTTTTGTATTAAAGTTTTTACATTGATGTTCCTATTTTGCTTAAAATCATTGTTCACAGGTAAATGTAATTACAATTTGTTTCTTAATAATGAAATAACCTTCAGTATTTTAACCAATCAAGGACTGACAGTATTCACTCTCACACGAAGATGCTTCTGAATATCCAGATAGAACATTTTTAAATGGCAGAGATGTGATCTGTTTATGAGCAAGGATTATCAGATTTCCAGTAAACATTCTCTCCATTCCCTACCACAGATCATTTCAAAAAATGTGATTATCAAATGTATTTTGAAGCCAAATAAAATTGTCTGAGTCATAGCAGAGAACTTAATTTCCCCTGCAATTATTAAAAATAAAGCAGACACGAGGATTTCCAAAGGACTAAATTGTGAAACATTTCAGGAAAAACTGGTAAGAATTTTGATATGTCACTACCCTAGACCAGGCAAGTGTACTAGAAACATAAATGTATGGACAAATTCTTTGGGATACAGGAGATTTATGGATCTATGTATCAGATATACAAGAAGTAGCCATTCATTTAGGTCACTGCTCTTCGCCATAGGACCTGGGGGCTCCAACCACCAGGGAGAAGGACCAAGTGATCATTAAGCCACCTGATTCCAACAAACCGTCTCCACTCACCCTGAGACTCGGGTTGCCATATCCAATAAAATGCTTCTCCACTCCAACTGCTCAAATCTCCAAATCCGTGCCGTTCCATCTCTGCTACCACTTAAGAACCTTAAAAAATTCAGAAAAACATCTTATACTTACATACATGCCACCAAGAACTACAGTCAAAGTCACAAGCAAAAACATTTTTCATGTAGCTATCCTGACTGTTAGCTGGCCTAAACGTTTAAGTGTTAATTCAAAAGACAGGGATTTAGAGCAAATCTGATAGGAAAAAAAATCGGGTTTGCTAGAATTTGCCTGGCCCTATGGAGTTAAGGCACATTTCAAACTCAAATAGCTTGTCAGATTGAGTTTTGAGAAGACAATGTACACGTAGTACCTGGAGAGGGAAAAAAATAGGAAGAATTAAAGATGCGTGGGAAAATCAGTAAGAGCAAAAACTCCATTGTAAGCCATCTTCATTCTAAACTCAAATTCATGCTGGCCACTGTGTAAAAATAAATCAATCTTTTAACTAAGGAAAATATTAAAAACTGCAATTTAGGAAAGGCACCTGAAAGAAACTGGGGACCACAACAGAGTATATAATTTAAGTGACAATTCTGTCACATGACACATCAACAGTGGTTGACTAGAGAGATTTTTTTAACTACTCAAACGTAAGGAATTTCATTATCTTTACACTTGATAGGAGAGCTCCTTTTGGTCACAGGACCCGGTAGAAGCTACAATTCTTTTTGTTTAGTATGTTTCCCCCACTGCGGACACTTTTCATTCAATTAATATACTTTCTACTAAGTGCCTGCAATATACAAAGTGACATATCAGCTGTACTAATATGAAGCATAGTATATTTGCCTAAAAACACACTCACAAACACAAACACACTTACTTACCGATCACCATTGTTACAAAACTGGATACTATCAACTTTATCCTGGGGGTTGGGGGGAGGGCAGAAAACAAACACAAAAGTGATCACTCTTGTTTGTAAACAAAACAAAACAAAAAAACCCACTCCGTTTTAGAACTAGAAGCACATTTGGTTTAAAGCAAGAATGTGTACTTGTGCTGCTTAGCCCCATCATTCAAACACGTATCCTACACATTTACGTGCAAAAAACCTAACTATGACTCTAACAAGACTATAAAAAAACCTTTCCTTCTAAATGTAAAACTATATTTACAATGAATTACATCTGTATAAGAATTCACATGTGGAAAGTGATCAAAACATAAAGCAGCTGAAAACAAGGCATCACTCTGATACTTATGTACAAAAAATTTTTTTTTCTTTTAAAGTGATTTGGAACTGTTTATCAAATAATTTCACAGAACTTCCTATAGGAAAAAAGATGACCTGACCACTGAGCGGTATTCCAGAATCCTGAGAGTTATCTATCTTACTATACATTAATAAAATAGCATTCTGATTTCATGAGTGTGATTAAAATGAATAGGCCCCTTGAAACTAAACCCACCCAGATAAACTGTCATAATCAAGATTTTCAACTTAAAGCTGAAATAACCACAATATATTAGCATAGTCACATACTTAGTTGTCAATAATATCCTTCACCTTTATATATGCAACCCTTCCTACATTTAAAATTAGAATAACAATTTTGTTAGCAATATTTGACTATGGACCAACAGGAATATTATTAATGATTAATTTATACAATTTTATAACATGAATACTTACTGTGTGGCTTTCAAGTTCTGCGATTTTTTCAGGTGCTTCAAAACCCAAAAAATACATTCTGATTACATGATCAGTACTACCTGTGGCTAAAAACATACCACCTGAAATAAAAATGTTAAGGTTTAAAAATTCAGTTTGTAACAAATATCTGAATCAAATTTCTGTATCAAATTAAGCAAGACCTTTTATCCCAAAATTAAGTTTATCTCAATAGATCCATTTTCTAACTCACTATATAAAGACATTTTAAAATTAATATAATACAGTGATGTTTTAATTTATAATAAAAAATATATGTATTTGGTCTTCATCCCTATTTCTGGCACAGAGCTCCTAAAACCCTTGGGAAAGATTTCCTAAGCAACAACACTGATAAAAGTATCTTGATATTCATAACAAATCAATTTCACCCACACCAGAGTTTATATTAATAAAGTGATTTTTGGAGAGCACCTAAGAATGGGGGTGCTGACTGCCAGAAGTACCAACCATGTCATTAGAGGGTTGGAACTTTCGGTCCCACTCCCCTGACCTCTGGGGAGGGGGAGAGGAAGGGAGGTGAATCAATCACCAATGACTTAATTAACTGTTCCTATGTAACAGAACCTCCATAAAAAAACCTAAAGGACAGGGTTCAGAAAGCTTCCAGGCTGGTGAACATGTGGAGATTTGGGAAGAGTGGGGTGTCTAGAGAGTGTCCATACACTTCATCCTCTGCATCTCTTCCACGGGGCTATTACTCAATTATATCCTTTTATATAAGCTGGAAATCTAGTAAAATGTTTGAGTTCTATAAGCTGTTCTAACAAAATAATCAAACCCAAGGAGGGGGTCGAGGGAACCTCTGGTCTTTAGCCAGTCAGTCAGAAGCAGAGCTGACAACCTGGTCTAAAGGGGGGAGGTGGGGTCTTGTAGGACTAAGCCCTTAACCTGTAGGATCTCACACTGTTCTTTAGGGAGATAGTCTTAGAACGGAACTGTAGGACACCCAGCTGGTGCTGGAGAATTGCTGGATGGTGTGGAAAAACAAAAACAAAAAAAACAAAACACACATACATCAGATGGGACTTTAATTAAAAAAGTAATTCAATCTGGAAATATTCACTACCTGTCACTGCTTTATTAATTGTGGCAATGACCGTATGTGCTGCTACTCTGACAACGCCTGACAAAGGGGCTCTGCTTTCTAAACAGCTTCACATACCTAACCCTAGCTTCAGAATACAAAGTTCACTCACTCAAGTTTTCAGACTTTTATGGGGGAAAATCTTTGACTTCTCCTAAAAAGAAAGGTTACCACACAAGCTCACTGTACAAGAAAAGAAAATGTGCGATAATTTCACCAAAATGAGTGGAAAACAAATTTAAACTATAAAAATCTGCAGTTCAGCCCATTCAAGAAAATCACAGTTTTGGTAGATCTCACACAGGGGGCTCACATGGATACCTTAAGCCTCCTTTTGCCAGCTGTCTGACTCTGATTACCATTAGAAATCAGAGAATGGTAGAATGGGGGAGTAAAAGACAAAAAAAAAAAGCTAATGAAATAAACATCTTGGATTAAGCCTAATGAAATGGGCAAGTCATTTACCATCCATCTGATAAATGCTCTTGGCAATAACACGATCATCCAATAAATGATAAATAAAACTAAGAAGAAAAATTACTAAATTTATCTTACCAACACTAAAAGAAGAACAAAGCATCTGAACACCTGGTCTAGGCTTTTCCGTGAACTTCAGGGGACGTGGACTTTAAAAGAAGATGCAATTTTCAAAACTCATTAGTTCAACACATTAACAGGGTTTATAATGATGGTTTTAATCTAGCATATTTAATATTATAACCTTATTTATAAAGTACCTCACAAGTATCTCTGCATATGCTATTACAGCTGGACAGATTCTGGAAGGCTCTGTCCAATCCCTGTGTTCACAAGAACCCTACCCCACAGCAAGAGCGGACCTACCAACCCCATCTCGTAACTGAGGGACTAAAACTTCGACTGCAAGTGAACCCGCCATCCAGGTTGTAGGGCAGGGTATACAGCCACCAGGGAACAGCACTGCTCAGCAGAAACTATGCGAGCCACACGTGTAACTTTAAATTTTTACAGTAGCCACAGTAAACGTAAAAAGATAAAATCAGTTTTATTTCATTTAACCTAATATATCCAGAATATCACATCAATATGAATAAAATATTGAGAACCTTAGATCCTTTTTTTCATACTACATCTTTGAAATCTTCCACAATATACGAAATACATACTACATCTCAATTTGAGCAGTTTTCATCAAAGATACTTTATCTATATTTGGTTTCATAAAACTCACAGTTGAAAAACTAAATTCACAGTCAGGTTATTTGAAATATGCTTAAAGGTTCTGTGATACCTGAATCAAGTATCAGTTTTTAAGATGAAACTGATAATTCAGTTCCTCGAATGCACTACCCACATCTGAAGTGCTCGACAGTCACACACCGCTGGTGGCTACCATCCTGGACAGCACATCTCTAACATTTTTCAAAACATTTCACATACATACGATCTCACTTTTTTCCCCCCATAAAATGTGCCCACTAAGATAGAATAGCTGCGCTTCTTTCACATATCCATCTAAATAGTACATTGTAGGGGCGCCTAGGTGGCTCAGTCGGTTAGGCATCAACTCTTGATTTAAGCTCAGGTCATGATCGCAGGGTTGTGAGGTCAAGCCCCACACCAGGCTCCACACAAAGCGTGGAGTCGGCTTGAGATTCTCTTTCCCTCTCCCTTTGCCCCTCCCCTGTGCACTCTCTAAAATAAATCTTTATAAATAAATGAACAACACACTGTAAACAGTCAATAGGGCACTAACACTGTATATAATAAAAAGTAAAAAGGCAACCACAATATAGAACTTCCCTTTATAATCAGACTTCATCTCATTAGACTAAATTAAACACTAAAGAAAGAAAACTTATCACATAATTACAACCACTTACCTGAATTTCAGGGACTCTAAATCCCACTGCCAGAAACAAACTGTTCCGTCAGCACCAGTAGAGACCATGTATCTTTGGGAGCCTTTGGCCATTGGGCTAAACTAAAATGCAACCACACAGACAATTCCGTTTCCTGAGCTTCTACTGAAGTCATAGTTTAATGGTTTTTCAAAGTTAATTTCAACTGACACACTTAAGTAAAACATAAGAATTACAAAATACAGGAAACAGTATAGTGAAAAATCACAACCTAGGTTATCTCTAATTTATAAATGTAATGTGATCTCAGTAAAAGATTACTTTCAAAACTAATAGACAAGAAAAACTTTTACAAAGAGAAAGTGAAGTCCTGGTCTTATCAATATGAAAGCATAATACAAAGTCTCCATAATGAAAATTATGGGTCATGGTAGGTACAGTGACAGAATGACCAATGGAAAAATATACTATAAAGTCCAAATGGACCTTAATATAAAAGCTAAGATAAAGGTGCCAAAATTGGTTGCAGAAACAATGAATCACTGCATAAATGATTTACCATCTGTGCAGCAATCTGGAAACTATTCTTTGGACTGTACATCAGGATCAATTCCAAGTAGATCAAAAATTTAAGTATTTAAAAAGAAAGCTATAAAAGTATTCTAAGAAAACACAAGAATTATACCTAACTTCAGAAATGAGCTAACACTTAGGTTTAACAAAGTTCAACTGTGTTACACAAACAACCTATTAGACCAATTTGGACCAGAGACACCCAACAAGGCTTAACAGATAGAGAGGAAAATACAAAGAAAACAAGAAAAACACGCTAGGCAAAAGAAGATGAACAAAAGTACCAAAGTGAGAGGGTATATGGTATGTGACAGCAACAGAAATATCTATATGACTAAAGTGCTCATTTTTGCAAGTGGTGGAGGAATGGATTAAATGAGTAGAGAATGTGGACCCAGTAAGAGCAAGAAGTAACTGCAGTTCTCAAGTAAAACCCAAAAATGTGTCAGACAGCAGTATACAATAGTCACTGGAAGGGAACAGATAAGAAAAACAACTAAGAATCAATCCACTTAATCTAAGAACCTTAACGGGAAGGAAGTACTTCCTTTCCCCAGAATGGGGAGGAAAAAGCCATGAAGAACACCACAACTTGCTGACTCATGAGTCATTCAACACAAAGGAGGTTAGCAAACAAAGACCAGGGCTGCCATTAACAGAAAAGGAAGAGCTGGGAAGAAATTTTTTTAGGTTATTTACATAATTATTTATCACTACAACATCCCAGAGAGACATAGTTTATTATCTGTTTCATGATTTTTCTCAAGATTATACACTTTGTAAGGGAGGTAGGATTTGAACCTAATACTTCTTCAAAGAAGCTTCTCCCAATTTCCTTCTCTTCAAGTACAGGAAATGAAGGGTTTTTCAATGTTGAAAGTGATTACTTACATCTAAACAGATGTGTCCCAGAACATGGACTAAAACTGAGTTTTGGAGAATATCCCGTTAAAATAAATAACTGAAGATAATTAATATCAAATATTGTTAATTAAAATTAAAATGTCACAGTAAAACTTGTAAATCTGCAGAGAGTACTTTAAGAGTTCTAAACCTGAATTTCTGCAGAAGAGTTGACTCATGTTCTAACTAAATCTAATTCTTAGATACACAAGTGGTACTGCACCATACTGTCTGTTCTCTGTAACACCTTTAAAGTATTTTAAATATCTAGCACGGCAAAAGATGCGAGGTTTGTTTTGCTTAGGGGTTTTGGGGGCAGGTGGGGGGGGAGAAGGGCTCTTTGTGCTTATTTTCTTCTAAATGAACTTGATGGCATGCTGAAGTCCATTAAAACAAAGCAACTGGTATTTCAAATATAAACACACTAACTTTATACCAAGACTTGGAGAGAGATGCTACCTTTACATCACTGAATCTTCATTCAGGAGTGTACTAGACATTTTCACTAATATAGATTATTCCCTCCTCCACCCCCCGACCACCGACCCCAAGGTTCTGTCATTATTCTTAAGACTTTTCTTCATACAGACTTCTCCCATTTCCTGGTTTATGTGTTTGAAGGCTTTTGTTGCTACTGTGAATTATGTTTGTACTCCGTTACATCTGCTAATTGGTTATGGTGGTTTATAGCAGTTTTGGTTCTAGGACACAGGTCCTATATTCATTCGGTTTACTAAGATCTCAGGAGTTCTAATAAGTTTTAATAAAATTCAAAAGTGAGTCCTCTGAGCTTGGAGTTTTCTTTTTAAATTTTTTCTTCAGTGCCCAACAGGCATTATTAACCTTTCAAGCCTTTCCTTCACTGTTTCTAAGCAGCAACATTCCTCAAATGCAGATCACTGACAGCCAGCCATGCTTCATTAATCATCCTCAAAGCTATTCATCAGTGACCATAATACTTATTTCTGCATACTGAAAATGAGTCTCACTTTTCCAAGATAGGTTAGGTAAGTCCTGCATAAAGGAAACAGTAAGAGGTATGACTTCTCAGTCGCTGGTGGCTTCGTGCTTCTGTACTACAATCTCACATGGCTACTTCCAAAGTCAAAACAGTTTTGAAATCTACACATTTTCAGTAACTGTTCGGTATATAACATGTGCCTGGGTGCATAATAACTTCTACTTTTACAACTTGTTTGGTGGCAAAATAAGTTTTTAATGTATGCTGATCCTCTGTTTTGCTATTAAAGAGTGCACTACCCGAAGGTAGTTAGCTACTCTATCACCTGCTAAATGCAAATCTTTCCTGTTGTTTATTACGTGTCCATTCTAGACAAAGCTGTGGAGGGGGAAAATCTGTACAACATAAAACTCACCATTTTAGCTATTTTAAAATGTACAACTCACAGAGCACCTGGGTGGCTCAATCAGTTAAGCATCTGACTAGATTTGGGTTCAGGTCATGATCTCAGAGTCATGAGATCCAGCTCCACACCGGGCTCCACACTGAGCATGGAGTCTGCTTAAGATTCCATCTCTCTCCTCCTCCCTCTCCCCCTCCCCCTTCTCATTCTCTCCTCCTGTCTAAAAAAATAAAAATAAAATGTACAGTTCAGTAGCATTTGGTACATTCACATGCTCTGCAGCCATTGCCATTATCTGGTCCCAGAGCTATTATTTTAGAAGATAAATTGTAACCTGTCAAAGCATTTTCAGTGGATTCTCATGGCTTTTTAAAGTATATCATACACACAATAGGGCGCCATACCTGTCTCTTGCCATACATGGATAGAAGTGAACCATGTGGACCTGAATCACAACACTTCAGCCCTAAGACCCTCAGCATGCATGAGTCTCCTAAGAACAGTGACCTTCTACTCCATAACTATAACAAGCTTGTCAACACTCAAGAAATGTCATATCAATATAATACTATTATGTAATATATGGTTCATACTGAAATTTATCCTAATTTCTCGAATGTGCTTTATAGGCTTTATTCACTCCTAAAGCCAAGACCAAATCAAGGCTCACACATCGCATTTATACTTGTACCATTTTCTTAGTTTCCTTACATGACACTTTATTTTCTTGCCTTTCTTGGAACTAAACTTTTGAAAGATAGAGGAGATTTCA